TTCTTTCTTTCCTACTCACTACAAAGCGCATCAGCACTGAATCCCAGCAATTTTTTACAACATCACATGCAGCCGTCTCTTTTTCTGATACCACCATTTCTGTCACTGCTAGGACTATAGCCTAATGGTGTCCCACAGGTTTACCATGCCTGTAGCCCTGTTCTTGGATGTGCTCCCATTCATCACACCACTGGACTAATCTTCCTGTCACCATCATTCCTTCTAAGCTCAGAAACCTCCCTTCACTTCCCAGAGCTCTGGGTCTGATGCCCACAGCTGACCTTGGAAGTTTGAGGCACTCAATAGGCAGCTGCACTGTCCTGATTTTTCCATAAAAAAAAAAATCAGGAACTCTTCAATTTCTACTTCCTTGACTAAATCAAAGCAATTATTTTGAATGTCTTATTAATAAATAAATTTCAAAGCAGTAAGTCAAAAAGCCAGGTTCAGTAAGAAGTGTTCTGGTTGGACCCAAACCCCAGGCTTTTATAGATGAATGCAAATCAGTGGCTGGTGAGTCTGCTTGTCGATGCTCCCGTCCGGTGTCACCGTGGGACTATAGCTACCTTCACCACTCCTGCTCTTTTTAGCCTTGGTTACGCTGGTCCTAGTGGCCAAGACTGTTGATTAACTAGTGTTAGCTCCATGGTTAGGTGAATGGCTATGGTTTGAATATGGTCTTTCCCCTGTGAAACTCATGTTGAAATGTAATCCATATGAAGTATTAAAAGGGGGGACCAGGAGGGATCTTTAAGAGGTGATTAGGATTCTTTCCTCATAGATGATTTTGATGGGTTACCTTGAGAACAGGTCTCCAAAAAAGCCAGCTTGATCTCTCTCATGTTTCTTGTCTTTTAAACATGATGATGCTGGGTGTGGCTTTAAAACTCTGCCAGCAAAACCATCCATCACCAGATGCAGGCACTCAACCTTGGACCAGAACTGTGAGTCAGAACACTCCTCTTTGCTTTAGCCTGTACCTAGTCTGTTAATAACAACAGAAAACAGACTAAGACACCCACCTGGTTAAAACCCTTTGAACTGTGTGGGCCAGGACCACCACAGCTTGGTTTGGTACCCTAGACCGACCTCTACACAGACTAGAAAATAGAGCAGTTCTCTGGCTTCCTCTGTATGTGATTTTGGAATGACCAAGTATACTTTTCCTCAGAGCAGAGTACCTTTATGAGTTTGTATAACAATTAGGCTAGTGCTTACAAACTATCTGAGGAATACGAAAATCTCCTTCAGCTCTGGTAAAAGTTGTTGAAAAGGCTACTCAAGGAACCTACTCAGGATCCTGTAAACATCTGTCTTGCTCTAGGGCCAATAAGTGTTCAGAGTGTTGGGGGCAGGAGAGGAAAAATGTATGATCAGAGGGGCAAATTTCCAGAGGTCTGTTGACTAGACTCAACAATCCACAATCCTATGAGGCCTCAGAATGCCTTGAACACATTCTTGTTGAAATAATCTTGGACTGTGTAAAAAAAAAAAATCAATAAACATTTTGTAAAAAAGGAAAGAAGAAAAGAAAACAAACCTCTGATTTCATAGGTCAGCATATAAAGAAACTGAGTGGAGAGTCGGGGCCTTTCCTGCTGTACCACGTGGGGGAAGTCATCTTTCAGGACCTCAGTTTCCTTACCTGCTCAATGGAAGAACTGAACCTGAAGATACCAAAGTTCTCTCCCCAAATTAAACTTCAGCAGCTCCACAAATTATAACCATCAATATGGCAACTGTGATTTCAAATCTAGAGATTACTACTTCTGGAAATGCAAGTCCCCTGTCTTCTTAAGACTCTCCCTGGGATCTGGGCAGAGTGAGTCTCTCTCCTCTCTACTCCCACTGCACATGTATAGACAGATCTAAAACAGAGTGTGACCCCTATGCCTCTGCTCCTCCCGGTCTGCAAACAGAGTTCCCTGCCATTTCCACTGTGTGGCTCTCCATAGGCATTACCCAGGCTCCCACACACCAAACCCTATCCACCTTTAAAGCTGTGATACAGTTCTGTCTCCTCCAGGATAGTGCCCACCTGACCTCAGTCGCCACAGTATTTTCAATATAAACAGAATGGCAAGGCTATACTTGGGGGAAGGGGCAGGGATGGGACAAAAAGTCAACAGATGCCGTTCAGGAGTTTAGGAGTCTGAGGGTGCCCACTGTTTTGGTTCTTTTTTTGGAGGGGGTGGTCTTTTTGAGACAGGGTCTCCCTGTAGCCCCAGCTGGCCTGGAACTCACTATGTAGACCAGGCTGGCCTTGAACTCACAGAGATCCGCCTGCCTCTGCCTCCCAGGTGCTAGGATTAAAGGCATGTGCCACCACACCCGGCCTGTTTTGGTTCTTACTATACCAGCTTGACAAAAAGGAAAGGGGTAAAGCCTACTCCTTTTTCTCTCAAAAATCCTGAAGCAGGGACTATGATGTTCATTCCATAGTAAGGAGACTGAGGGTCAGAAGGCGAATTCATTCAGGGTCAGGCTGGTGAGGAGGGAGCTGGGCAGTGAAGTGACCCCTGCGGCCACACTCATACATGGACATCTACACCAAAAGCAAGAGGCTGAACATGAAGTCAACACTGCATAGTTAACTTCTGCACAGTTTTTGGAATCTTTTTATCAATCTGCATCTGTCTTCATTCCATACCTCCATAAGCACAGGATTTGCTGAGGTAATGTCACACCCACTAACCCGGGCTTCCCTCCCACAGGGATCTCAAAGGGTCTTACCATCTTCTCAACTGCTCTAAAAAACTCTTTCTCACTTCCCATCTTTAAGCCTATTGCACTGGTGTGTGTGTGTGTGTGTGTGTGTGTGTGTGTGTGTGTGTGTGTGTTTCATCTGTGCGTATGCACCTGTGGTGCACAAGTGTGCACACGTGGTTGGGTGTGGATGCCAGAGGTCCACATTGGGTATCCTCAGTCACTCTCCACCTTAGTTTTTGAAACAGAGGCTCTCACTGGGACCTGGAGCTTACTGATTTCACTAGACTAGCTGGCCAGCAAGCCTCAGAAATCCTCATCTCTGCTTGCCTAGTACTGGGTTAAGGCACACACCACTGCACCTGGCTTCCTTAACGTGGGTGCTGACGATCTGAGCTCAGGTCCTTATGCTTCCCAGTCCCTCGTTCCTTCCTTCCTACAATGTTCTCTTCTTTGAATTCTGTGATACCAGCCATCTCCTAGTTTTCTTTCTACTTCTCTATCATTTTCTGTTTTCTTCTAGGTCTTTCTTCTCAAGAGAGCCACAGGTTTCTTCCTTACACCTTTGTGGGCTGGTGCCTCCCTGATGGCTCTGCAATTGCATTTACATGCTGCCAAGTACATGGTCCATTACACTGCACGACATACCTGGCTACCCAGGACCTTACCTCGAAACGCCCATGAGGGCCTAGGTCAGGAACACTTCTTCCCTGAGAATGTCTGACTAACCCTGTTCATCCTTTGCTCTGATCTTGGCCCATCTGGAGACTTTGTCCCCCTCAGAGCACTTCTTTGTTTCATTCCTGTCACCAGCTTCTTTCAGAGCAGGGCCTATGTCTGTTCCCTGGGCTGTTCGTCCCTGAGTCCCAAAAAATATGTAAACTGAATGAGTGAGAACTCTCATCTTATATCCCAAAGACACCTCCTGTCAGCTGTAGCTCCACATGCCTGCCTGCCGTACACCTCCCAGCAGGGCCTGTCCTACCAGCAGCTCAAGCTTAGAACATCTTCCTTACCCTTTCTGCCTCGACTCTTCCTTTACCTCCTACCAGACTGAGGAAGACTGCAATTTTTCACCTCTGTGTAAGTGAGAAATCTAGAAGCTCAGCCAGTGGGCGAGAACTGTTCCCTTTGGTCTATCTCACTTCAGCCAGGCCAGCCTCACCTAGGCAAAAGCTCCTATGAGAGGCACTCCTACTCAGCACTCCTGTGAGATATTCCCTATAGGCCAACCTGACTCCACTCTCTTTACTCAGCTAAGAACCAAACTGCTCACTTCCACAATATACACTATACACTAAAGCTTAAACCCTCCAATGAGACGGTATTAGGAGATGAAGCCTTTGAAACGTGACTGGGGTTGGATGAGGTCATGAGGGTAGGTCTCCTGATTGGATTAATGTCCTTATAAGAGAAGATCAGAGAACTTTCTTTCCTTCTTATTACCCCACCCCACCATATGAGATTATAGCAAGATGGCAGCCATCTGAAAGCCACCAAGGGAAATGGACAACCCTGCTTTTGCTTGTCCCTCTCAGTATACAGAATTGTGGGAAATAAATGTCTATTTAAGGGACTCTCTCTAAGATATTTTGTTATAGCATCCCAAGATATTAATATACACACACTCTCCCATTATGGAATTACAGTGGCCTTGTGATCCAGTGCGTGGCCTGAAAATCCTCCAGGTGGTGCTTAGTCCTCTCTCTGGTCTTGTGCCCACGTTTCCTGCCTGCCTGCCTCAGCACCTGAGAGCTTTTGGGTTTCCTACTGTGGCTACTTACCTGATTATAGAACTACTGCTTCCTCCTTCCAGATGTCTATACTTCCCCCACCTGGCAACCCCAAAGTTCTTCAGGGCTCAGCTCCAGCATCACTTCTGAGGAAAGCCCTGTGTGATTCCTTGGGCCCCACACAAACTCCAGTTCTGTGCTTTACAGTACCATGTGCATGCCTCTAAGATAGCAGGATGACACCGAGGGGCCTGGCTATATTTTATGAGTCTGTATCTTCCCAAATGGGCCCACTGCTTGTCTTGTTCATCTTCAAGCTACTAACCCCTAGCACAGTACCAAAGACACAGTGCACTGCCAGAGATTTCAGCACACAATGAATTTTCAGATGGGATAGAGAATATTTTTAGAATTGGGAATTCATTGGGGGATGTCTGTTGTCTTGTTAGGAGTCTCTGAGGGAGAGCAGGGTGAGTGAAAAACTCACTCTGTCCTATTTCAACTGCTTCTGCAACTGGTGTTCATGATAAAGGAAGAAAGAAATGCCCAGACCTCACTCACCTCTCACTCACAGCAAGGTGCTGTTGCTTTAAATAGCCCAGAAAATTGTTCAGGACCCAGTTAGTCACCTTTTTCGGCTCTGCCCTAGTTTCTTTTATCACATTTTCGAAGAATTCCAGTAGGCCAACTTCATTCTGTTAGAAAACAAAAACAAAGACAAACCATGCATACACACGTATAAATCCTCCCCCCAAATGAAAGAGCAGTGTTCTGAAGGCAACAGGAAACTGCCACCCTCTGCCTCCATAAGACATACCACTTTTTATTTGGGAAACACTGAAATGTCGCCAGAACATTCTGTTCATTTTCAGCAAATGCAAAACATCCTAGTACTGCCACTCTGCATCTATAGAGTATTTTCTTTCTTTTTTAAAAAAGCTTTTTTTCTAATATTTTATTATTTTTATTTTTTGTGTATGAGTGTATTGTCTGCATATAAGTGAGTGCACCAGTGTCATGCAATGCTGCGGAGGCCAGAAGAGGGTTCCGGATTCCCCTGGAACTGGATGGAGTTAAGGACGGTTTGTAACCGCTATTTGGGAGCTGGGAATTGAATCCGGGTCCTCTGCAAGAGCAATCAGTACTCTTAACCACCGAGCCATCTCTCCAGCCCCAAGGAATTCTTTCAAAAGGAATGAACATATGAGCACCTGACTGTGTAGACCTGAGGTGATGAAATTCAACACCCCCCCACCCACCCACTTGCCTGCTACTCAAGCGCCCAGAAGCCTTTTAGCCCTGGGTGCTGAACTGGCCTTACAATGTTTGGCTTGAGTTTAATGATCTTTCTTGTCCCATCTCCTACTATAAGTTCTGGTGACTGTCGGAAAAGAAGGTAACAGATGGAGCAAATCAAGAAGGAATAATGACAGTATTCTATCACTGAAGAAACTAAAAGTGATCAGAACCACTGGTATTCCTCTTCACATTATCCTAAATATGCAATGCTTCTGGAATGTTTTCAAACCAACCAAGAACATGTGTACATGTGACCCAGTTAGACTGGCTCCATAGTGGGTGGAGGGATACTCTGGCTTTCATGCCTTCTAAAATGAGCTTGTGTTGGCTGGCCTTGCCTCTCCTCTGCTCCGTGAGATAATCACCTGGAGTCTGAGGAGAAAGAGACTTGTTTCATGAATTTTAATATTTGCCCCCTCTGAACTGTCAGCTCCATGAGTCATGCTGTTCCTGTTTATAAATATAGTCAAGTTAGTGCTGGCCACAGGAGTGGCTTGGTAAGGACCAGTGTATGGCATCAGGGTCTCCTGTCACCATGTGAGCACCCATCTCCTGTCATACCACGTTCACCCTGAAGTACTTGGGATGGTCACAATTATGCACGAGAGTAGTGGGGTGGGGACACTCATCAAGTTATATGCTGTGGCTAATCATTAACTGAGAGTGATTGAGCTAACCCTAGTATATCCATAAGAAAAACAAAAAGTTGTTCTCCTTACAGTAGAAGCAGAAACATGCAAGTGCAGATGGCATGGTTTTGGTTTATTTAAGATTTTTTTTTATTCCTTTAAATTATGTATCTGAATATGGCTATGTGCACATGAGTGCAGGTACCCCTGAAGGCCAGATGCATTAGATTCCCTAGAGCTGAAGCTACCCAATGTGGCTGCTAGAACTGAACCCAGGTTCTCTACAAGAACAGTGCATACTTTTAACAACTGAGCCATCTCTTTAGCCCCCAGACGTATGTGTTTAAGCAGATTTTCCTTATTTGTTGAAATCCAAAGCAAACCACATTATCCTTAAAATATTCTTTATGTTCACACTATAGCTAAGGTGCCAATCCCTGCCCCTTTCTTAGAATCCTTCACTAAACAAAAGAACATTCTGAAAAAATAAGATACTTGAAAGAAGCAAGACATATTAACAAAAGTGCATGTAAAGTTTGGCTACTGTAGAAGTTGTAATATATACACAAGCACACAGCTGCTAAGGTAGAAATTCAATAAGAAAAAGCATCACACAGCCTCTGTAACAGATAAACTCTCTAGTGACAAACTTACTGAATAATCCTACAATCATCTCTTGAATTTTTCTTTCAAGTCAACACTATTATTCTGCTCATGGTAAACCAGAGCAAAGGCCATCTCAGCAGCCCACACTTGACTGCAGATGAAGGCAAATCCAGGCAACATGAAGAAGCATTGCTTAACTTTCTCCAAAGTCTTCAAACTTCTCTACTCAGTCGCAAATCACTGGGGAAGGAGAAAAGTACTATGCAGTCCATGCTGGGTAGGCAGAATTCCCTTTGTTTTCACTCAGACAGGCTGACCCACTGGTGGAACGAGCTGTCAGGAGGAGACCTCACTGCTTTGCAAGGAAAGCTTGGCAAAATCCACCTAGAAATACTGCACTTGGGCTTGCAGCCTTGGGTAAGTGGCTGGGACATGATGAATATCCATTCCTCTACCCTTGGGTGGTTTTGTTATTGGATGGATAACACTGCAAGTCAGATTTCTGTTTGTCTTCTCATGTCAGTGCTGTGATGAAGCCTCTCTGAGCTGGAACTGCACTTCACTGGGAATACAGGACTCCAGTGCACAATTTAAAGTTGGCATGAAAACCTGAGATGGTGATAGGGTGAGCTATAGAGAGTGGGGTGGCAAGAGGCTGAATGATGGATCAATTAGAGCTGCACAGGGGCTGCTGCTCTGCTCTTTAGAGCACAAGCCCATTTTCCAAGGAGAAAACACACACACACACACACACACACACACACACACACACACACACACACACACACAGTCTGCTGCTTTTCATGGTTTTCAGTTCTATGAGACTGGCAAATGCTAATAAGCTTGGCACAAATCTCAGAAGTTTCTGATGAACACAGCAATGCAGCCATCTGGTTTTGTCAGGAAAACAGTGGACCAGTAATTTTCTTACACAAAAATCATATTAAGAGCAATATGGCAAGGCCACTGCATTAGGCCTTTAATATCCTTCCCAAAGCAACAAACCCTGATCTGTCCTACATATGACAAAATTGAAACTCAGCTACACAGCAAGTCAAGTCTCCTGGCTAATGTGATGCCAACTGCTTGTTCAGAGATGGCTAAAGCAGTAAGAACAATGGGTCCTGCCTCATGTACAGTACCAGAGAGTCTTACAGCTCCACGACTGCACAGCGTCTTTGGCATTTTAAATCAAATTTCTCAAGGCATTCAATTACACACAGAGCCAATGTCAGGCCAGCTTCTTTGACACTAACAGGAACCCTAAATAACAAAATCACCAGCTGATCAGTGCTGATGAGAAGCAAAGCAGAGGCATCACCTTGCTCTCACGAGCAGCTCCAGGAAGAGCCTCAGTTTACTAGGCGCTGCACTCTGGAAGCAATCTGGTCCTACACTATCTTTTGTATTCTACCTTCAGAGACAATGAATGTTGAAGACTATCCAGTTGGAACAGGATGAAGGCTGATTTCTCAACTGCATGTTTTGTTCTACGTCACACATCCTGTGATTCTGATGTTCGTCCAGAAACAAGGCTGAACTGTATTTTATAGGCAGAATGAAACCTGATACAGACAGCTCTCCAGGGGCACTCAAAGAAGAAAAAGGTCCAGAAAACATTAGCTGAGGAACAGCTGCTTCCATGACAAGGAGTGTCCTGGCAGCCTTTTGGGACCCTGGATTAGCAATTCGGGGCTGGTTAAGAACTCTCAAGAATATTTACTAAATATGGTAGGACCCTCCTCCCCATTAATAACAAACACATCCCAAGACCCTCAGGGTATGCCAAACCCTAGGATTTTTCTATAGATACATACCTATAATGTTTAATTTACAACAGCTAGCAAAATTGAACAGCTGTTGTATAGTGTAATAAAAATTTTTTTTTCACGTACAAATTCAAATAGTCTATTTCTGGAATTTCGTATTTATTATCATTGACTGAACTGAACCTTTGAGAACTTGGATTGGGGGCGGGCATAATTACTGTACCTGTTAGACACAGACAGCAAAGGTTGGCTCTATGGGAAGCTGCATATGGTTGCTACTGCTAATAACTATAATGCGGGTGCCCACAAGTTTCTAGTGCTTTCTCTATGCTAAGTCAGCAGTTCCAACAACAGTCCTGTGAGCTGAGTACCACCAGAGCTCTGCAGATGAGGGTACTGAGGCAGTCCTGTGTTTGAGGTCACCCAGCAGATAGCAGCAGACTTCTGCTGGCTCTACTCTTCACTTCAAGTGACTGTCTCTGAGGAAGGAGGCCCAGCTGCTGCCTTCTTGGGGACTGAAACTGAGCACCTATCAACGGCAGGCACAATGTGTGCTCATCAAAAGAAAACATGCCCCTAGCACTTTCATTATTTTATTTGATGTTGGCCAGGTGTTCAAAGGTTCCCGACATATTAAAGATATTGCAGAGGTCCCCCACAATTAGCTTAGAAACTGGTAGGAAAATATAGCAAGCTTACTATTTGCCTTTGCCAAGGTACACCTAGGCCACATGGCATGGCACACATCTGCTCCCAGATCAGAGAAAAGGACAGTGGCATGCCCACTGCCCACGCTACCCTGGGCTCCAGAGGACAATGGGTAGCCAGAAATCCCATGTCTCTTCTGCCATTCCCCCACATACAACCAGAGGAACCACTAGGAGCTCACAAGACCCTGACCCTGCACTATTTTCAAGTACCTTCTGGTGTAATGCGACAAATTCCATTTTCTCTCATTAGTTTGGATAAAAAGGATACTCTGCTCATTGCATTCTAATGGGTAAGTCAAGTAGTGAGTTTATAGCTAACTGCGCAGCTCATGCTTGCCAATGTGAGTGGCTGACTACCAAGGAAGCCTGCATCTACCCCACATTGAGCAGCAGAAGTTTAAACTGGGCAAGGCTCTCATGTGTCACTATGTGGCATGAAGAAGACTTTGTGAGCAGCACGGTTCTGAACATCTGTGCAGCTGTGTAAGGAGCCCATCACCTGTATTATACCAGTGGCTCTGATCATTCTTACAGAGTGAGCAAAACAAAACTCAAACCCAACAACTTTGTAAACATGGCTCTGAGAGAATAACACCAAATGCTAATGTCAGGGACAGAGATGAAGCGAAGAGGCAATTCTAGTTAGCTTTCTACTGCTGTGATAAAAACCATGATCAGAAAC